TGACATAAAAAAATACTTATTTAGCAACAAAGAGTGAATTAATTATATAATATATTTAATCATGGGATGAAAACACAGAATTCACCCTTTTTAAACAAAACAAATAATTATTTTCTATTTTATTATTTTGTTATATATATATATTTTATCTATTTAAAATTGCTTGTGAACAATATATAAGTTTTCATAAATCGGATTTAGCATGCAATGCAAACAAAATTGAAGAGTCATTTTGCCGAACCACTTCCGCCACAAAGAGAGGAGGCTGTGAATAATGACATAATAACTAGTACGGAATAGTACGGAATAGTGTCTCTGCATAGTATAAGCGATACATGCTACGCCCAATGTTACATTAACTGCACAAATAATGACTACAATACCCAAAATTCCCGATTTAATTTTTCAATTAATATTAACTTTAATAGTATAAATAATTATTAGATACAGTATCATATATAATACATACATATATATATATATATATAATACATACTGTATATATATATATATATATACACAAACATTTTAAAATATTATTTAAGGGATTTTCAATTTATATCTGTTATAATAATTAATCAATGATTATCATGAAAAAATGTTAATCAAATGAACCACGTAAATACTTGATACCCACATCACTTATTTTAGGAGATAAGTCTGGACCGCGAATAAAGTTACTTTTACTGTTATTTTTAGATGTATATATGCAATTGTATAATTTACGTTTACTTTTGTTTACCTCATATATATTCAATGTTACATCTAATAATATAATACTATAGATGTTGCTTTTACTTTATAATTTATAATCAATATATAATCAATATAGTACTCTATAATTTTATAATTATCATGTACACCATAGATTAAGTTTATCTTCACATGAAATAATTTATAAAATTACCCCGTCCCGTTATTAATATTGTTGATTAAGATAAGAACAATAGAAACAATAGGAAAACTTTTATTAAGATGCATGATCATACTGTATTCCTTTATCTTTATTTATTTATTTATAAAATAAAAAAAAAAAGGTTTAAAGATTATCTATCAAAACTGATTTATGAGAAATATTTCACATGAGTAAACATTTTCCTGAGAAGGTAACACGCGTCTAGTTCAATTTATACTATTTCACGCAAAATCAACTGCAATATCTTTTATTAACACAATCATGTTCGTTCGCTCTAAGCTTATATGATTAAATTATAAGTTGGACAATCAAATAATCTTATCTTACTGATACAATTGGTGTAGATAACAGTAACATGTAACAATTAAATTTTTTTTTTTTTTAAAAAAAAAAAAAAACGGGAATAACGGACCGATTTCAAGAATAAACAAAAATATCTTTTTTTTTTTTTCTCAAGAAATTCATATGAAAAGGTAAAGATTTATTTCTTTATTTTTTTTTATATATATATAACCTTAAAATACTTTAAAAACATCTTAAAAAACTTTATGCTACGCTTATAATTGTTACAAATAAAATAAATTTAATGAGAACCTATTCTTTTTCATGAGATAGCTAATAATGAGCCAAGTTAACCAACAAAATCAGCCCAATAGGCCAAGAGCAGCACAAGTTCAGGCTGCGCAAGCTCAAGCCAACTTACCAACTCAGCATCAAACTATTGCACCGGCGGTAAGACCTGGTGGACCTTCGCACAATATTTATAGGATGCAAGCAGCTTCACGGCAACCAAATACGAGCAGAAGGATTAGACGACGTCGGTATTGTGATGCTCGAGCTAGTGTAACACCCAGTCTATCTAATCTAGCGGCAGAGCTTAACCCTCAAGAAAGTACCGGTAATCCTTTAGTTGATGGTTTATTCGGGGGAGCTTCGTTCTATTAAGAACAAGTCTGAAAAGTAAGGAAGGTTTTTATATTAGTTAAATTTATGTAACTTTCTCTAATCATTGTGTTGCCTTTTTTAGATCTCACTTTATACATTATGGAATTTCTTTCTTTAATATAGTACACTTCATTAATGTATGAAACTATGAATTAATTGTTCCTTTTATACATACTTTTTTTTCTTAAGCATACAAATTTTCATTTTTATTTAATAAGATTTCTTTTTACCTTCAAATATACATTTTTATTTAATAAGATTTCGTTTTACCTTCAAATATAAGAATGTATGATTTTTCGTGTATATCAATATTGTGTAATAACAATATTTATATAGGTTATTTTAATTGAAAATAAATTCCATTTTTTGCGCCGTGCCACGTGCTCTTTATTATAAATTTTTGTGTTATGTGACACAATTCAAGTTACTCCGGAATGTAAAATAAAATATGAAATAATCAATTTTGCGCCGTATCTAACTATTAAACACGTTTTATTTATGGTTAATCTAGTTAAACGAATTATATGCTAAAAAAATGATGCATTGCAATATTATAAATTTATACGATGAAAATTTCCTATTCACTTTATTCATTATTGTTCGGAACATCGGCCGAATCTGATTCCGAATAACTTTCCAACAATTAAAATTACATAAGGTTATTAACCCCTTTTTTTTACGTGTGACAAATGAAATTATTTTTCTAAAAATGAAATTTCGATTGATAATATAAAAAAAAAAATTTTTTTTTTTTATATATTTATTCATTTTAAGATATAAATTGACAAAACGATCGGCGATGTAACACAATGAATGGTTCTGTTCCTCTTGCGGCATTCCATTTTTTCATTGAGAATTCTCAAATGATTTACCAAAAGTCATTCAAAAAATCTGTTGTGTATGTGTGCAATGTATTTTTACAAATTTTACTTCATCATTGCAACTTTTCAAGAAGGGGTTAGAAATTTTAGGGATTTGAGCCGAGCCTTCCACCAGACTATCTTAAATTTCCATCAAGTGAATTCCATTTCACCTTTATGAGAATTAAAATTTTAATAGAAAATTCCGAAAGTATCTAACATGAAACAGAAGGGTCAAGAGTCCATATTTTTAATAGAAGCTACCCAATTTTTTAATTTTCAAACCTCAATAATAATTTAAATGATAGCAAGTCCATATTCTTTATTGAGGTGCAATCAACACTCCCAGAGGGATTATTAAAACATTTGTAATTTACATAGAAAATTCATCAAAGAGTGAATGCAAATCTTGAAATAGTCATGATAGGTATGTTAACTATGTTATATTCATTTGTCAATATTGAACTTAATTTATAGTTATCATCCGCACATCTTTATAACAATTTTCCTTCATAATTTTCAAATATAGAATGATATTTTCTAAATAATCATCTTTTGTAAAATAATAATTTTCTAATAGGGTCATTATTTCATTTCTTTTATTATGTGGCTTTAGTTCATGCTGGACTGTTTGTAAAGGATAATTCATGAGAATCCATGAAGCAGCACAATGATATTTATTTATTGATCGAAACTGAGCGGAAAGCTTTAGATATTTATGACAAAATTAACAGTTAATCGTGTTGGAACTAGTCCATGCTGGATGGACTGTTTGTAAAGGATAATTCATAAGAATCCATTGCGGTAATAGGCAGCAGCTCAATGGTATATATTAATTGATCGAAACTAAGCAGAAAGCCTTAGATATTTACGACAAAATTAACAGTTAATCGTGCCGGTCGAAAACCACCAAACTTTAATATAAAATAGTTTAACACATACTGTAAAATAAGAAGCATTGTTGAAATCTACTCTTAAAAAGTTAAGAAAATTATAATATATTTTAATAATTTGGTATTCCATTCTAATTAACATTACATTTAACATTTTTTTTTTTGATTTTATATAAATATATAGGATTTTTTGCATTTTCTCCAATTTTTATTAAAAATTATATAATAGTATTTTGATAATTACGATATTGTAATCATCAATGATCAGAATTGGTGGCTTAATTCTCAATATCATACATATTTGAGCTAGATTTCTCACACTGTATATGGTAGCAATTTCATAACAATATTCAAAATGGTTTAAAACATTTTATGATAATGAGGTTAACCTTAACAATGAAAATTTTTATCACAAAAGTTCAGGTATCTATTAATTTTCATTTTTAGTGATTTTTATTAAATTATTTTCGTAAATTATTAATTTGATTTCTAATTTTTTTAATCAATATTATAATTAATAATTTAAATAGGGCAAAAAAGGTGTTTAGCATATTAATTTTATGGGAAAGTTCCTTTTAATTAGAAAATGATATGATTAAACAGCGTTTTACAAATGATTGGAGAGTTAAGACTGTCGGTATTCTGTGCTGGCCGTGCATTTAATAGTTGAAGCTTCATTCATGGAAATTCAAATGAATGCTACTTCTGTGGTAATTGTAAATATTAATTTATCTCATATCTCATTAATTTTTCTTTTGAATCTTTCAATATCCTAATTAAGAGGAACTTATATACTAATTTTATATTATTATTTGTAAAAAGCCTGGATCGTTATTTATTTTTACACCTCCGTCCACGGAAAGGTTACCTTTTATTCCAAAAGCATTCATCAAAAAGAATAAGATATCGAATATATATATATATATGCATAATATGTAAGTAAGATTTCTCTGAAACTTTATAAAACTATCAAAGTTATTGATTCTTTTAAATATTAAGATTCTCTAATAAAATTATTGCGTACGTATTTATCTAGATACTGAAATAATTTGATTAAAAAAAAAATCAATATTGGCTATGGGTGTATTTATGAAAAATTGATGATTAATAATTATGAAATAGGGAAATTCAAAAAAAACGGTATAAAGCAAGACATAAGTAATGAACTTTGCAGCAATTAAGCAATTATGGTATTACAAATGATCGCCTTTGAATCGTTTATACCTGAAGTTACACAGAATTGCTTCCGTCCTCTTTTATTTTCTGTAATATCTGGATGTTATACCTGTTAATAAACACAAATATAATTTTTCACAAAAATTATTAAAGGTTCTTTCAAATTCAACTGAATTAAAAAGAAATAATTTTCTTCAACATCAAATTATGTTATTCTTTATCTTTCTTACTACCCAAATCTTTTTCTAAAATAACCATATTATCTACAACTCTTCCACTTTCATCTAAAGTTGCTTCCGAAAATAAAAAGGCCATTGCCGAAATGGTAAAAATAATTTCGAACATTTTGACATGACGAAATAACGAAATTATTCTATTATTAAAATTGACCAAAATGCAAATGACGAAATAGAAAAATAATTTTGACAATTTTGACATGACGAACTTTACTTTCATCACATATTTTCAACTCAAAATTCTCTTCTTTTATAAATACTTCTCTAACTCCTCTTCTGTTAAGGTAATTTTTCCAATCATTATCCCAATTTAATAAATTTTCTAACAGTTCATTAATTTGTTCACATTCACAAATTATTATGATTATTATGGAGAGATAAGCACTGCCCAAATATAATACTTTTAATAGGTAAACATTTTTGTAAATTGATCAACATGTATAAAAACTGGAAAAATGGGAAGGAATAAAATACTCTCGTTATTTAATTAACACGAACAAAGTATTGGTTTTGAAAATAATTAAGTCTTTTGCCTGATAATTATTACAATTTTTAAATATATAAAACGTGATATTAACAAGGTATTCTATAGTAAAAAAAAAAAAAACAATGTTTTCATTAATTATAAACAAGGGCATGATCACCTAGAATATAATAGTTTATCCCGGAAATGGATTAAACAATAGCAAGGGTTACCCCTAAAAAATCATTTGCCGATTATTGTACATTGTACCATATTTTACGGAATATACAAGCACCCTATTTTTTGCACTTAATGCCGGCCAAGATCTCCATAATTCTGACCAAAATCGCCATAATTCTGGCCAGGGGTGTTTATTTTCGGGGGGTGCTTAATAACCACAAAATACGATGATAAGGGTCTTTGATTTTATTGGTTCTTATTTACCTTACGTTGTTTGTAAAAATTTGATCATCAATCTATTGTCTCTAATACATTAAAATAATAATTTTGGTTTTCCGATAATTGAGTTTTCCGTCAAATTAAAAATTATCTAACGGCCAATAGACTATCCGGTAATATCGTAACACAAAGTTTCTCTACAAGTTTTAATTATATGGTTAATTAAAATGACCGAAGGAGAAGTTGAATACCATTTTGTCTTGTAAATTATACCTATTATTTCACAAAAATGGTTAGATTAATTTACTGATACTCTAAAAATATTTAAAAAAGTTGTGTACATTTTTACAAAATTTATTTTGCACCGCAGTTTATATAATAAATATTGCACGTGATTTTATTTAATTATATTCGGAAAACAAATAAAATCTTATATAAAATAGAGTGAATTATATTTCCCTGTGAAATAAAAATAAAATAAAAATAAAATCTATATAAAATAAAGGATTTTGTTTTTAAAAGTCAAACCCAGTATTCTAAACCCTTTTTGATATACTAAATAAAATTGGAAAGCAGTCGAAAATACGCATATTATACGGTCTTTGAAAGTATTATAATATGGCCCAAAAAGGTTTACGCCAAAAATGGAAAAAAATCAAAAAAAAAATAGAGAATTAGAAAATTTGGCAAAGATCGGCAAATTATTGTATAAAAAAAATTGCCAAAAAAGGATATATCTCATAACGAAAAAATATTATCCTAACAAAAGGAAGGAAAAATACTAAATACACTAATCGTATATTAATAAAAAAAAAACTTGAAAAATCATATTTTTTCTTAAATCGATAAGTTAAAAATGAATTTATATTGATTTACTGCAAAATAGTCGGTAAAATAATTAAAAGAAAATTGATATGTACGTGTTAATACATATTCGAATACCAAGAAGCCGAGATAAAAATTGAAATACACAGAAAAGATTATTACATAACGATATACGAATAATGAGTAAAAAATAATAGAAAAAAAGAATCGCCAATTATATGCCCTTGTTTTTTTTTCGTTTCTTTTGCCAATTTTACTAAAAGTTGTAGCCGTTATAAAATTCGGAAGCTTTTGAGTCATCTGTATTTTGAGGTGGCATAGATTCTATCTGGTTCAATCTTTTTTGATTGCTAACAATTATATCATGTTTAGTACGGTTTTTATATTTTCTTAGATACTTAATAAGTATTCTACGATATTTTAAATTTTGTGAAGTTCGTTGAAATGATTTAGATTTAAGTTTTTTTAAGGCTAAATCCTTCATTTTTGACTAATATATAAAGTGAAAAATGAAGAATATTTTCTGGGGCTTTATATATACCGTATCGGCACCTATCAGTTTTATTAGGCTACTTAGAAAAATAAAATCAGATTATCTCTATCAGCTGTTTCTACAGAAACTTATTGAAATCTAATAAATATACACATATTAATTCTCATCGATGTGTAAAAGATATCATTATATTTCTTATTTTAGAAAAATTAAAAAATTTTTTCCCATGGAAATGCATTATCAGTAGTTATTTACAGTTTCTTTGTTAGCTAATATAAACGATTGAACCTCTTTTGTCACATATTATATACTTATAGTACATTTAACAAGCTCAAATGTGTCACTTAACTTGGCGTCCAATTACTGAGCAGAGTATTACCTAAAGACATAAACTTATTAAATAGACTCTCACGATCACACTATAAATCAGTGAGCCTATTTTATAGTCAATAAGGGGAATAAAGCTATTTGACATGTGAATTCATAAGTGCTAACGCGGCTTTGTACTTAAATCTATTATAAGTCAATAAAAAAATTAAGTTTTAGTATAATAAACTAAAAAGGTTCGTTTCTATTTAATCGCATATTCTATCTTTGGTTTCTTTTAGTAAAAAAAAAAAACAATTTTTGGGGTTTACTCACTTAATGATTTTAATTTATCCTTAAAGTTTTCATTGAAATGTCAAGTAATTGCAGTGAAACATTTGATTTTTTGAAAATGTATTTTCCATCTTTTCATCTTTTTCTCAGCCCATACATTTTGAAAATGCAACAAAAATATTGGGATTACTACTAATTGTAAAACGGTAAAGTTAATAAAAAAAAAATAAACCATTGTTCTTATCTTGTATCGAATTTTTTTTTCAGTTACCACCAAACTTTAACCTTAATTCAAAGTATTATATAGATGGCGTTTTGCTCCATATCTGGTAAGTATGATTATGTAAATTTTTTTTTTTTCTCACAACAAAGTTTCTAACCAAAAAATTCCATGGGACTGCGCCTTATGAAGTTAATCTAACACAAAAAAAAAAATAAATAAATAAAATAAAATAAAATAAAATAAAATAAAAAAAGAAAACAAAAAATAAAATACAAGACAGATAAATATAATAATTACTGTAATAATAAAGCAGAATATTAAATTTCGATTGGATTGCTCTCGGATAGTTAAAACTGACAAAGTAGATAAAAATAAAAAAGTAAAAAAGATGCTGCGTTATGATGATCAACCGGATTATACCGGATTCCAAAGTCCAGTTTTGTTTCCGGTCTTGATAAATGGAGTCATTATCCTTTTAATTCCGTATCGGTGAATGAAATTGCATCATTATGCATTTTTATTTAATAAACATTTTAAATTAAATATTTTTTTTTTTTGGTTTAGACGTACAGATGTTTTCTTCGTTTTTTTACTTTTGTTTTCAATAAAGTTGTGTTTACCTGTTTTACCATTCCGATTTTTCAATTCGTCAATTCGTAAATTCTTACATTCGTCTTATAAAGGTCTTAACCTCAGAATTATTTTAACATAAATTTGGGCATAATGATAAAAGTAAACAAATAAAAATGCAATCTTACGTTATACAATCTTTAGATCTACTGCAGATTTATTATTTGTTCCGACCAAAAAATTAAATAAAGGTTATTTTACCGGCATCCAAGCGGAAAAAAATATATTTAATTAATGTAAGTATAAAAGAAATCAGAATAACGTTAAAAATAATTAACTTAAAGTAATTTTAATCTATTTTCGGTCTTTATGAACAGATTTGCATCCATTTTATTATCTCAAATCAGTTAATAATTATATAAATGCCATTCGGTTCAAGTACGACTCACTAATTAGGGATGGGAAAGGTTCGCGGTTGAGCGGTTCGAGTCGGTTCGTTCCTGTTCGGTTTGGTACTTTCAGTTCCGACAGGTTCTGATAAATTTTTGATATGAACTGATTCAGTTTTGGACTGAAATTACCAAATCGAATTATTATAAAACTGGAACCGATTCATCCAATTCAAACTGGCTTAAGTCGGTTCGCTCAATAGTATCTGTTCAGAAGTCAGAACCGGAACGGATCGAGCGAGTTGATTCCTATCCCTATTATTAACTGACACACCGCAAATTCATGCTATAATTTACAATATAGTCAGTAGTCAACAATATTCAATAATTATAAAAGTTGGAATAATACTCACGCCATTATTTTGCGATAGTAACTTCTCATTTCCGCCAGACGGTAAAGATCCACTTTTTGAGGCTTTAAACCGGGACAAGTTCTTTCGATGTTTATATTATTAATGAGGCCGACTTATCAAAATAGATCCTCAAATTGTAAAACCGATTTAAGAATAATTGTATTTGACCATGAGTTGAATGTTTTCATTTCTTGGTTTTACCTATTATTGAATCATTTCTTTCATATAATGAGAAAATAATTTCATGAAATTTTCTGGAAGTTTTCTACATTCCAAGAATGGATGAGGCTGATGACTTTTATACAAATAATGAAATATAATTAGAAATTGGACAAATTTTGGAAACCTTTTTTCGATTAAGATAATTTTGAGTGGAAAATTACTTACCTCAAATAAGGTTTGTGTGGTAAAAATCTTTGATGTATCCGTTCACAATTAACAATTGGACTATACGTTTGGTTAGTTAGACGTTGATTTTGGACGACATTAATATTAATGCTCCCTGATTATGAAATCAATACACATTTATCAAAATCCACAATGCGAAGGTGCCTACCAAACTAAAAGAGGAAACGAAAAATAGATGATGCATCCAAGAAGGATGATGATTATCTCTATGAAATTGTAACTGCTGCGACGGTATTTACATCATGTTAATTGTGTTATGATTCTAATCGTCCAGAGCGAAACCAACAGTAGAATGGATTTTTGGCAAAGAGTTTGCAAAATTTAAACCTAAAATGCATTATTTAAATGATGAGATAAATTCGTTAATCCATTATTCAAATTAGGAAATGACAAAATAAGCCATAAATAATAAATAATATTTACCCAATATAAAAAATATTTCCTAATTACATTAATATTTTAATAATTCAAATATTAATTTCGAAATTGAAATGTACAAAGAACCTTTATCATCTTTTTTTCAATTTTATCTTATCTTTAAACAATTAAAATGATATGAATTGCTTTTCTAGAGATATAATTTTATTATTATAAAATTTTGGCAAAGTTTACAATTTCAGTCTTCTTAAATACTGCTTTAATTGAAAATAAAAAAAATTTCAACCGTAAGATATCATATTTATCATCAAAATAATGGAAATAATAAATAATGTAAATAGCAATCATAGTTAATTATTTAATTATTTTCTAGGCATTACATTTAAAATAATTTTTTCTAAGAAGAAAAATACTTTGATAAATTAAAAATTTCCTAAAATCGTTACATTTGAATGAAAGCTTGCCACTTACGTTATTGTGCAACAAAGAAATCGTGTAACAAGCCATCTTTTTTTGGGAAGGAATCAATGTGAAATACTTAACGTAGTAATTAATACTTTAATGTATTCTTTTAAAATTTTTTCTTTGCGTCATACTGTTACTTTTTAAGGAAACATATCTTTGAATTCCGAGTAGCCAATAAATGATTATATCTTGTCTTTTTTATCCATACCAATTTCTCATACATTGTGTTTTATCTAATTTCTGTTGTTCGGATGATAGTTTAGGCTGATTTAAATAAATACTATTTGCTTAATTTAATTGTCGGGATAATGTGATGTCATACTAGTATAGTTGTATATTATTCGATGGACAAACTTTTATATTTGGTATTATATCATTCTTTGAATTTTACACAAATGATCGGCCGATGTCCCGTATATCATTATCATCAGTGAGTATAAATATAGTATATTTTATTGTTTATTTCTACTTATTTTTTTTATTTATTTTGACCATTTTAAAAAATGAGTAAAAATTTAATAAAACTTCAGAACTATTACACCTGAAAAGAATAGTGATATTATAAAAAAATATAAAATTTTCTCATTTGAAAGATTACAAATCTTTCTGAAAAAAGAAAAAATTTCAAAGCCATCTATTATAATATAATCAATAGTTAATTCTTACTACAAATTCTTCTAGGAATTGATAAATAAATACATATAAAATTCTCTGCCAGGTAAAGGTTGCGTAATCGTGTACTAAATGGTGCCGATCAAAGTAAACTCGGGAATTCGACTCAGGTTAATTGAGATCTACATAGTTGGACAATGGTTGGTAAATACTAAAATTAAGGCCCAATTTCCCATAACCTAAATTTTAAATTTATATGGTTCGTGACCCGCATGACCTGGGTTCGAGTCATACCCGTGTTATCCGGGATGACTCGAATTTCAAATTTCATTACTATGATTACGATGATCATTTATGGCAATTAGAGCGAAAATGTGATAATAGAAATTACAAATATATGAAAAAATATTTGGTTCAAATAGAAAGGGGAAAGAAATTGCAAAAATAACCATCCAAACCAATTTACGACATTAATAATACACAATAATTATTATCCTTTACTAAAGAATACCTATTTGATTGTTGGATGGATAAAATAGGAAAAAACTTAAAAATTTGTATATGTACATAAAATAGAAACTGTACACATTTATTGATAGTTTCAAATAGTTACTGTACCACACCGCACAAAATATCCCCCTTTGAGAATGACCACTATATAAAGTATCCACCGTTTGTTGATAAAAAAAGTCATATATTAAATTCTTTTGTATTATGATGTACTTTGAAGTACAATATAATTTTGGACCAGGCATTTTGTGTTATAACTGGAGTATCTTGTACTATAAGGGATTATCAGTAGAGAATAAATTTTTTATATTTTTATTTCTCTACTTTATACTTTAAATTTGAAATTTGTTTAATGATTAAGGCCCGCTTCTTAAACATAACGAATAACTGAGTCTGAGACAAAAACATGGCCAGAATTATAATATTGTCGG